CATTTCAATAGTAAAGCTAAGACTGTTACAAACATCATTGATTTAAATCAACAATTGAAAATTTCACAAGAGATTCTGAAAAAGATCGCACAATGGCTATCAGAACGTAGTGTTTGGATCATAGACTCAGTTGATAATCATTATTGGAATATTGTCAAATATATTCCACTGTCAACCAAATCATATATCCAACTGCCAAAAGAGTTGAGAAACTCATCAAAAGGCCTCATCAACATGCAGAATAAGGATAATCAATGTTTCAGATAGTGTCATATCAGACATATTAACCCTCAAGATAAATATCCAGAGAGAATCAAGAAATCAAACCAAACTCTTATTAATAAGTTAGATTATTCTGGTAAAAAGTTTCCGTTCAAAATCAATGATTACAATAAAATCGAGAAACAGAACAGTATCAATATCAATGTTTTCGGTCATGAAAACAAGCAAGCATATCCAATTTATGTTTCCGAAGAACGATTTGATGATCATTTGAATCTTCTATTAATAACCAATGAGGACAAACAACACTATATGCTGATCAAAGACTTTAATAGATTCATGAACAATCAAACGAAGCACAAAGCAAGAAAACACTTTTGTATGCACTATCTCCAGTGTTTTTCATCAGAAGACGTTCTCAATAAACACAAGACTGAGTGTATTATAATTAATGGTGAACAAGCTACAAATATCAAAATGCCGGGAAAGGTGAAAAAATCATGTTCAAAAATCACAGCCGGCGGTTAAAAGTACCATTTGTTATATATGCAGATTTTGAAGCCATCACAAAAAAGTAAATTCTTGCAAACCAAATGATCACAATTCAAGTGACTCTGTTCCACTGTGACTCTGTTCTACTGTGACTCTGTTCCACTGTGACTCTGTTCTACTGTGACTCTGTTCCACTGTGACTCTGTTCCACTGGAACTCTGTTCCACTGTGACTCTGTTCTACTGTGACTCTGTTCCACTGTGACTCTGTTCCACTGTGACTCTGTTCCACTGTGACTCTGTTCCACTGTGACTCTGTTCTACTGTGACTCTGTTCTACTTGGACTCCTTCCACTGTGACTCTCTTCTAATGTGACCCTGTTCCACTGTGACTCTGTTCCACTCTAACTCTGTTCCACTCTAACTCTGTTCCACTCTTACTCTGTTCCACTGTGACTCTGTTCCATTGTGACTCTGTTCCACTGTGACTCTGTTCCAGTGTGACTCTGTTCCATTGTGACTCTGTTCCACTGGGACTCTTTTCTACTATGACTGTGTTCCACTGCGACTCTGTTCCAGTGTGACTCTGTTCCACTTTGACTCTGTTCTACTGTGACTCTTATCCACTGTGACTCTGTTCCACTGTGACTCTGTTCCACTATGACTCTGTTCCACTGTGACTCTGTTCCACTGTGACTCTGTTCCACTGGGATTCTTTTCTACTATGACTGTGTTCCACTGCGACTCTGTTCCAGTGTGACTCTGTTCCACTTTGACTCTGTTCTACTGTGACTCTTATCCACTGTGACTCTGTTCCACTGTGACTCTGTTCCACTATGACTCTGTTCCACTGTGACTCTGTTCCACTGTGACTCTGTTCCACTGGGATTCTTTTCTACTATGACTGTGTTCCACTGCGACTCTGTTCCAGTGTGACTCTGTTCCACTTTGACTCTGTTCTACTGTGACTCTTTTCCACTGTGACTCTGTTCCACTGTGACTCTGTTCCACTGTGACTCTGTTCCACCCTGACTCTTTTCTACTATCACTCTGTTCCAGTGCGACTCTGTTCCACTGTGACTCTGTTCCACTGTGACTCTGTTCCATCGTGACTCTATTCCAGTGTGACTCTGTTCCACTGTGGCTCTGTTCCACTGTGGCTCTGTTCCACTGTGGCTCTGTTCCACTGTGACTCAGTTTCACTGTGACTCTGTTCTACTGTGACTCTGTTCTACTGTGAGACTGTTCTAGTGTGACTTTGTTCTACTGTGACTCTCTTCCGATCCACCCTGACTCTTTTCTACTATGACTCTGTTCCACTGTGATTCTGTTCCACTGTGACTCTGTTCCACTGTGACTCTGTTCTACTGTGACTCTGTTCTACTGTGACTCTGTTCTACTGTGACTCTGTTCCACTGCGACTCTGTTCCACTGTGACTCTGTTCCATCGTGGCTCTATTCCACTGTGACTCTGTTCCATCGTGACTCTATTCCACTGTGACTCTGTTCCACGGTGGCTCTGTTCCACTTTGACTCAGTTCCACTGTGACTCTGTTCCCATGTGACTCTGTTCTATTGTGAGACTGTTCTGGTGTGACTTTGTTCTACTGTGACTCTCCTCCGATCCAGTTTGACTCTTTTCCACTGCGCTTCTGTTTCACTGTGACTCTGTTGTACTGTGACTCTTTTCCACTGCGTCTCTTTTTCAGTGTGACTTTGTTCCAATGCGCCTTTGTTCCACTGTGACTCTGTTCCACTGTGACTCTGTTCCACTGGGATTCTTTTCTACTATGACTGTGTTCCACTGCGACTCTGTTCCAGTGTGACTCTGTTCCATTTTGACTCTGTTCTACTGTGACTCTTTTCCACTGTGACTCTGTTCCACTGTGACTCTGTTCCACCCTGACTCTGTTCTACTGTGACTCTGTTCTACTGTGACTCTGTTCCACTGTGACTCTGTTCCACTGTGACGCTGTACCACTGTGACTTAGTTTCATTGTTTCTCTGTTTCAGTGTGATCCTGTTGAACTGCGACTTTGTTCCACTGTGACTCTGTTCCACTGTTACTCTGTTCTACTCTGACTCCGTTCCACCATGACTCTGTTATGCTGTGACTCTCTGACTCTTTTCCACTGTGAGTCGCTTCCATTGTTATTATAAGATCGTAGGACAACTTTTTTTAAAAATTCGCTTTAATCTCGTTTAAATTTCTAGGAGGAGCATTAATGACACCATTAATGTTCAAGAGTGTTTATTTGGTGAATTACCGACACATTGAGTGAATTTAAAGTTAACTCCTGATGTCTACAAACTCATATTTTAGCCACAGTTCTCCATACAAACTCTTATATTGCGCTCGGGTTACCTGTGAAAACACTGACTTGGAGTTGAAAGTTCATGCGCTTCACTATGCAAATGAGCTACTCGTATGCACCACGCTTTCGTTTTAAAAACTTTGGAAACTCGCCAAACGAGCAGAAACTATCAAAAACAGGTCTTGGTTATGATTAAGTACTGTTTTAAAAACTCACAAAATTATTAACTCGACACTACAGAATAGAGTGTTTTCTTACATAAGCTTTACTCTAACTCAGAGCAAACACAAAAGCTTACGTGCACAACTAGCGCGAGCAGATCTTATTCATTCACAGCGCGAAATTGAAGTCTTCTTTTGGACCCTGAAAAGCTCACCTGTTCCATGAATTAGCTCGGAGCATAAAACTGCATATAAGCATCCTGGTTCTTATTCCCTGTCTTATTCTCTGCCATCGCTATGAAAAATCTAACCTGCGAACAGATTCCCAGTTGGAGGAGCAAGCGCAAAGCGCCGAGCAAGGGGAGGCTACCCTTGCTCGGTGCTTTGTGCTGAATTTTTACTTAGTACTTGTTTCTCCAACTGGGAGCCTGTTCGCAGGGTATGAAAAATCCGCAAGCTTTCGCCATGTGATCTCACTATGACAACATCTACGCGAGAACCCACGACATTTGCGTGGATCTGCGCAGATATATGTTGTCAGGGTGACGCAATTTGTTCAAAAAATAGCAAAATTGTCCCATGTCATAGGTGCACGCAGTTTGCAATGCTTAGTACGGTCTCCGGCCCCGCTGAAACCCCCCCTCTCCCCCGCCTCGCTTTACCATGTCCTCGTGCCAGAACCCCGCCGATTTTAAAAGAGGAACAGACGGGCCTGGGGATAAATCAGACAAAGATGGCAGACGGAAGTACGGCCATCCATAGCCTGCGAACGCAGACGTATTTCCGGCTGTTGCTTGTCTCCGCCGAAAATAACGACTGCGGACCAGGTCCAGGAAACAATTTCTGTGATGTAGTGACTTTTGTTTCTCTTTGGCCAATCAGATTCCATGATAGAATGAAACTTGAGTGCTCCTCGCAGTGAATACCTTTCGCAGTAGTTCTGGGGCTGCTTGAGCTAAACTGTGATTGGCTTAAAATTCCTACGTCACAGAAATCGTTTCCTGGCTCGGGTTCACAGACGTTATTTTCGGCGAAGACAAGCAACAGCCGGAAATACCTCTGCGTTCGCAGGCTAGGCCATCCATGACTTGAGAACGAAAAACCATTTACAGAGTCTCATAAGCCAGAACACCTCTCTTTACCTCTGTACAGGTATTTATATCAAGACGTATGTTAAATTATTTCTCTACGGGAAAAGGAAATCTCCCTCTATAAGAGTATAATGAGCAGAAACATGGACATTTGTTTCCCTAGAATTGAGCTGTTCATTTCTGAGAAATAATTGAAAGGCCGCGTGCAAGAACGTCCCCTAGATTTTTTGGTCATTTTGAAAGTGTTCAAAAATAGCTGAATTTTGGCATGTAGGCTTCGTTTTACCTGAGAAACGTTGCTCTGAATTTTTTTTGGCTGGGGCGCTCTTCGTTCTCGAGATATTGTGTATGCAATAAACCACTCGGTTTTTCCAACCTGTGTGCCTTTTTTGCATACGTTATTTCTCAAGAACGAAAAGCAACCCAGCGAAAAAAACTTCAGAGCAATGTTTCTCAGGTGAAACGAAGCCCACATGCCAAAATTCAGCTAGTTTTAAGCACTTTCAAAAATGGCCGAAAAATCTAGGGGACGTTCTTGCATACGGCCTTTCAATTTATTCATTGTTGATTAGTTACATCATGGTTATTTCCGTAGAAGAAAAAGCTTATGTAAGCATTTACTGTTTTCTCAGGAGATAGAATTTAATTGCAATTGTTGGAATGCGTATTGTGGAATGTATGGGTACAGTTAGTGTTGAAGATGAAAAATGTCTTCCTCAGGACCAGGGAAGGGGAAAAAGAAGCGAAAAAATAAGGGAAGAGGCGGTGCTGGCAGAGGACGTGGCAGAGGACAAGTTTTACCCACTCCTGGAAGACACAAAGGTGCAGGAAGATCTGTTGATGATGACGAAGTTGAAGTTGAAAGCGAAGTGAGACCTCCTACAGGAGCAAGGTCCGTTCCTGAGGCTTTAAGCTCTACAACAGCTGAATATGATGAACTGCAAGAGCCAGAGATAGGGCAAGAGAGACCGAGAGAGACCAAGACCATAGCTAATGAGATAGTAGGGGAAGTTGGTCGTGTTGCTCCTGCCAAGGCCAGTACAGCAGTCGATAAGAAACAAGAGCCAGGCTGTTCTGCTTCTAGGGCCAAGACCAAATTAAAAGGAAAACAACAGCAAGTTCCTGGTCCGAGCAAGTTATCTACGTCATCTCCTTCCTCTGGTACCAACGTTAAGGGTAAGCTTTAAATGAAAATGAATCTGTTCACAGTGGATTTAAATTTACCATTCGTAGATTGATGAGCATATTTGTATTGTTCTGGTAGTACGATTTCTTACATACCTCTTGAACCAAGTGAGGATTTCTTGGTTTGACATGGGCAGAAATTTGATTCGGTTTACATTGGGCTTTCTGAAGCTTTATCAGTCCTATTTGCTGGGCTAGAAATACCAGCCTGGTTAATTACTTAATCTCAAACTGAGCTGGGCTTAAAGTGGCTGAAGCTAGGCCAGGGCTGAAATCTTCTCCAGGTAATCCCCAATTTGACTTCAAGAGGATTTGTTACAGAAGCTGGGCTGATCAATTTCAGCTCCCACCTAACCTATAATTTAAGCTAGGCTGGTATTTGTCATGTAATCACCCCCTTAGGCATAGGTCCCATGTTTGGAGGTCAAATCTTCCATCTCACAGCTACTCATAGCCCTCTACGCAGAAGCTCTTTGGGCTTGTGATGCAATCTTCCTTCTCAATGAACGTCTGCTAAAACAAACAGCACATTTCTTTCCACTTGTTCATGAAGATCAGCTCGAGATCATGCTGAAATTACTTTAGAGCCAATTTACTATGGGTAATGGTGTAATATAAAGCCAGTCATAAGCTGAACAGGCTCCTTTGGTGCAATATAACTACAACCTGTTCTGTTGCATGTCACGTATTGGGTGATTCCAAAAAGTATCCATACCTGTACCACAGGCAGCTTTTTGGAAGTCTGAGGGCAAGGGAGGTTCTTTGAACTAGAAATCCAAAGGCATGGGGGTACTTACGATTGCAATTCTGAGTGCATGGGGGGTTTGCTAGAGGGGGCAGACAAGAGTGACAAAGTACAAACGAACTGACGACACTGCTGACTACTGTGGAAAGCAAGATATAAGACAAACATTGATCGATCTTGCATATGTTCATGCTCATTTACAGAAGAAAAGCGATAAAATCTGGGTTGCACATTGGGCTCCAGAGGCCTTAAAGTTGCTGGATTTCTTGTCAGAAAATCGTTTGCGATGAACACCGACCCGCCATGTTTGTTTACTATGTGCCAGCGATACATATTTGTAATAGTAATTGGACCGAGTGGAGTACAAATCAGGAAGTAATTGCTTGATTAATTCCAAAATCAGATGAGCGCAAAGTGCGAGCCTGATTTGAAATTACGAGCATGATTACTCCCTGAATTGTACAACACGAATTCCAATTACTAATTATCCAGATTTATAACAGATTTTGGAATTACAAATGTCTTTTGATAACTTCTTTGGAGCGAAAATCTCTGTAGCACTTTTCATAAGTTTTGAAAACTGTAGGAAACAGTGCAAAGGAAGCCGTCAAAGTGCATGTAATTATCCAATTACAGGTATCCAAGTACAAAAAGTTCAAATTGGATAAGTGTAATTTGACACCCATGTGATCGTGTGTCAATTACGTGACAAGTAGGTGCACGGAGAACCAATCTGGATTGAGAATTTTGTTATAGGTACGATTAATAAAGAAGCTGCTTTAATGGCATCTGGACAAGTGAATGTTGTTGGTAATATTGAAGGTAAATTAGACAGGATTTGCCCTCCCATGTTCTTATTTCCAGAGTAATTAACACACAAAACAATTGAAATTTTTATTTGTTCTCTAGTTTAGTCTAAAACTAGTTGCAAAATTGGAACTGAAGAGGAGGAAGTTTTAGTGGCTGAAAATATAGTCACAAATGCATGTGATCGTGTCAGTTGCATTCTTAAGCGCTGCATATAGACTAAGTTGGTAAACTTCTGGAAAGATGTAAAAGTCCTAGGGAAGTCCTAGGGAGTCAAAGTAGAATTCCAGAAGGTTGAAGTAAAAAAAATGGAAATCTGGAAGGGAGCAGGGTGTTAACGGTGTTGGAATTCAGAGGGCACTTGGGGGGGGGGGGGGGGGG